GCCAGGAAAATGTACTCTTTAGAAATCTTTATGAGCAGCACTTGATGGAAAGAAATTACTATTTTAATGTAATATTCTGTAAAGATCATGCCTATTCATCCAAAGAGAAAATAAAAAGCGCTCCTAACGCTCCTATTTCTGCAAAAGTTTGAAAAAACAAAACAAAACAGAAGGTAAATCTAAGAATAGTGGAAAAAAAACCATCAGTAAAACACCAGATACATCATTAGAGCTGGCAATGGTATCGTGGATCTCATATCCAGGACATATTAGCATTTCTCTTCATAAAACATCACTCCTCGCTGTGACACCTCACCTAGGCAATAAATATCTGTGTGTGAACTAACATTAAATCATGCTGGATGAATGGAGAAAATATTTTAGGATTTGTGCGGCTAAGCAATGACAGCACCCACACTTAACACACAACAAGAACAAATGTTGGATCGACTTTAAGCCACAACTAACATGGCCACTGTTCAGAATATCCTCAGAGCAGGAGAATGTGATTACTACGGTAAGTAAACCAATCAGACTCACGTGTGTTTCTGGGGAATGTGCTTAAAGTCCACACTGTTGACAGACTGACACAGAGAGCTGGCAGGAGGAGCAAAAAATTACTCTATGAAAAAGAGGCCATAAAAGGGGGCATATCAATCAGGACAGAAAAGAAAAATGAAAGCAAGCCTTACAGAATAACAGTATTATTTGACACCTTTTCTGCAAAACAGGGCAAGATGAAGAGATCTTCTTGTGGCTGATCTAACAAATAGTGGTCTTTTTGTTGAAAACACACCAATTCAATTCAGTTCAGCTTTATTTATATAGCACCACATCACAACAACAATTGCCATACATTGTAATGTCAAGACCGTATAATAATTGAGAGAATTATTAGATAACCCCCTGTGAGCAAGCACTTAGCAACAGTGGCAATTAAAAAGTCTCTTTTAACAGGAAGAGCCAAGTAACTGCAACAACAAGTTGGGGGTGATGGAAAAAGAAGAGATCAGAGGATAAACAAATGAATAAAATAAATGAACAAATGTAGACAATACTCTACAGGCCTATGCCCTGTTTCAGAAATTAAATAAAGCGGTTCCCAGATCTCATTTCTAAAGCACGACAGTGAAACCTTTTTCTTTAGAGAGTTCTTTTTTAAAGTGACAACCTCATTAACTTATTTCAGTAGAATAGTGTACCAAATGTGTTTTTCAGTGGACAAATACCAGAATATGCCATATTTTAGGAAGTGATTTTTAAAGAACCATATGGAAGTTTGCAAATTTTTCATGAATTTTTTTTGGGAGATCTCACAGAGTAAATAGAGTCGATAAGAAGGACTAACACTCGATCAATATTTTCCTGAAACTTGTTAGAACTAAATAAGACAAATTTTTCACGAGATATTTTATAGTTTTGTTGGGTCTGTAAGAGTTCACAATCAGTCTCAAACTATAGTGTGATATAGTCTGGCTCCGGAACAGAGGAAGCACTGAGACCACCAACATGAAGTCATTAACACGATGGTTTTGGAGGATTGCATGCTTTGGCTTTGGGGGTGACAGGGGAGTGATGGTACTAGTGGCAGGACTTGGACAACAGGATGTCCTGCTTGGCTGCTCAGCATGGAAATCAGAGCAGAGACACTGGCTGCACCTCTAGTCTTGTTCAGCAGAATGAATCAGCAGGGCTTTGGCAAAATCAAATACTTCGCAACTCCTCTGTAAATTCCAAGGTTATATTAACACAGAGATTGGAAATAGAGAAACTATGTGAAACTACTGCATCTACATACTGTCATACTGACTATTTAACAGTAAAACCTAAAACACAATCAGTCACTACTTTGGCGTCCCTTTTCTAAAATGTTAGATCTCACCCTAAAAGTGGCTTTTATGTTGATTATGTTGCTCCACTGGCACACGACACTGATTAAGGATGACGCAAGCTTTAAAAAAAACTTGAAGTAAAACTTGAATTTAACACTTGGTAGGAAAAGGAATCGTCTCCACACTTACGTTTCTCTAAAAGGTCTGCATGCTTTTGCGAATGGCCTAACAGACTAGCAGGCTTGCTGGGAGCAACAACTCGCTGCTCTTTTAATAATTTAGATTTTCCTTGACTCCCTTTTTAAGAAGTATCTGATGTGCACGTATTAGCCGTGTATTCTTGTAAAAGTTTGCCCATTACTCCCCATTCTCTGCATTCATACTAACGCAGCTTTCTCCTCAGCACTGATTTGGAATCTGTGTTTTCAAAATGCAAGTAATAAGTTATTGAGTTAAATGAGTTATTGTCGGGGAACAGCTGCCCTCTTGTACATGCCCCATCCAGGGTCACTGCTACTGCCCTTTAGTAAAATCTGTCAGGCCTTCTTTGACGCAGATCCGTTTCCTGTCAAAGTGAGATTTTTATTGTTCCAAGGGAGCAGGCTCCAGAATCTCACTCCCCCAGCCTTTTCCTGTTTCCTTTTGAAGAGGAAGTGCTGCTTTGCTTCTTTTTTTCATCCCCCCCCCCTCCCCCCACATCTTCTCTGGGACAAATCTGGAACAGTAGCTACATGATTTTGCTTTTGTCAGCCAAGTCTTGATTTCAAAGAATGAAAGTTCCTTAAAAAAAAAGAAAGGAAAAAAGAGGCACCCTCCCACTTTGTTACACAAGCCTTAATATACAAACACACACAGGCTAATGCGCTGACAAACAAGCCCACGCTGATTTTTGCATCTTATTCTAATGCGCCCCCTCTGAGCAATCAGAGCTGAAGGTGCATGCTCACCTGCGACCCCAAAGTCAAAGGTTCCCATGGTGCCTCAGCACGTAGGCTCTTTGTTATCGGAGAAAATAGTTCTTTGTATGCTGGGAGGGTCTGATTTAGTCAATATAAGCTCTTGAACAAACACTTAAAAAAGGGCCAAACATCCCCCACAGCAGCATCATTGCATAACAAAGAGAAACAAGCCAGAACACAAATACATATTTTTTAAAAATCAAGGCATTTATCATTAGTGCAGAAGGAAAGTTCCGGTTTCTGCCACTTAAAGCTCACCCTAAATGCACACACTGAAGTTGTCTGAGTGTGCACGCACACATCAATGCATGTGCAGCAGAGCAGCTCTGCACACTAAATCCTTCTCATCGGATTTGTCAAAGTTAAACTCAGTTTAAATGAGAAGGTTGAGGAGCCTGTTGCTGATACAATGTCAGCTGCAGCCACCGAAATGCACTTTGGTTCAAATGAGATTCCTATGAACACAGGCAGGAACACATCCAACACGCTCCAGGAGCTTTACAAGACTGAGCGCGGCGATTTAACCCAACAAACGAATGAGTTCTCACACGTCAGGCAAACAAACAAGGATTCAAAAAGTGAATCACAAGGAAGGAATTCTAAAGATGGGAATTCTAAAGTGAATTCATGCATCTGGAAAATGTCAGGAGAAGTTTGGGGTTTGCAGTTTATCAAACTGTTGGTCATTACTGTGGAGGTGGGAGTGAGACATATAAGGGAGGTGATCAGGAAAGTCTCTTTTTTTTCTTAATATAATAATAGTGGTCTGACAGTGAGTTACAGGCTACCATTTGTCCCACTGCACTGCACTGATCTACAATGGATGCATGCAAGCAGGGAAAAGAATCTACTTACTTATCATGTAACAAGCTGCAATTTCACAGATTTGATCTGGCAGTGACCTTAAACAGTTGTAAACTCAACTCTACCCTCTAATGGAATAGTAGTAAGTGCTGTTGCACTGGGCCTAGTGCGAGCTTCACTGTTCTCTATATTTGCATAGGCAGCAGGAGGCCGTGAGGTGAGAAGACTGGAGGCACTTGCCTTAAAAAAAAAACTAAAAATGTCACAATGGACGTGGTGGTGGGGGAGAAAAAAATGCTTCAAAATCAGATTCGCCAAGCGGTTTGAGCAGGATGGAGAGTGTTTGTGCATGAGAGGGGGTTTTATCAGCGGCAAACACTCACAGGAATTCCGGTTTGGGATTGTCCATCCAATTCCTGCGTTCCACAGGAAGCTTTGCATAAAAAGCAAGTGAAATACGCCCAAAGACATTTCATTTGCCGCCAGTCGACTCAGAGGGAGCACCTCGAATGAAGAGCGAGGGTTTTTTAATTCGATGCACCAACGCTAGAAGCTCTTAAAAGAAACTGGCACCATGGAAATGTCTCGTTACCCGCCGGTCCAGCGGCGCGTGCTCATGGCCGCCGCTCAGCCTGCGCGCGCACACGCACCTGACGACCTCATACTGCAAGGGTAAGATTTGTGCCTATTTCAAAGGTCACATTCCTGCAGGTAGGACACTGCACTAACCCGTGTTTCAAAGTTAATGATAGTTTTCACATACTACAAACAGTGGGCTCGTTACTTTTCAGCTCACTCACAGGTGCGCTTCAAAGAAGGGAAATTCGTAAGGCTAGCTAGATAAAACAACCTAATTCAAATTCAGCGTAGGCTAGCTGTACTGAGAAGAGTTGCTTAGCAAAATTATCCATGTTGTTGATAAAAATCTATACAGGGTTAAAAGTGCCGCAAATCACAAGAGAGTAGTGTGTTTTGCGGATCTGTAGGATCACATAATTATATGTGTTATTGCACCGTGTGTGCTTAACTATCGTATAGAGTAAAACTTCAAATTGGTGGGGGGTTTTTTCGTTTAAAATCACCAGAGTACATGCAAATACCGAATCACAGGCCTGTACAACTTACATACATTAAAAGAGTAATCTGGTAGATAGACCAGGTCCAACACTTTCTGACCTGGATGAAAAAATACGCTGTTTTTCATCAGTGTGGTGACTTTCTGAGCTCATTTCCATTGGTTGGGTGGGTGGGTGGGGGGGGGTATGTGTGTGTGTGTGTGTGTGTGTGTGTGTGTGTGTGCATCTGTGTGGTGACTTGCGGATCTATTTGCCTGTGTGTGTGTGGGTGGGTGGGGGGGGGTGATTAAACGTATATG